GATAAGGGAGATTTCGAGATGATCTGACGAACGGTGATTGGATGCTGCGACAGCTGCGGCAGTGATGTCGATCATTAACGAACTTTGGGGGGGCCGCCCTGGCAAACTCTCTGGAAAAGGAAAGGAGGCGCAGCCGCAGTTTGGGGAGAGTCCAGATGACACTTTTTCAGAATTGGGAGTATAATAGTTAGGTGAAAAGGCACAACGTCCAATGCCTGGTGAAAATTCTTTTGGAGCTTGTGGTAAACAAGGGGTAACTGCCTAAGAGTTCTTTTCAAATTATGTGTGAGATAAAAGGCTACTGGGTTATGGGACGGAATCGAACTCTTTTTTCTTGGAGGATGTTGAGCACAGGAGTGTGTAGACGAAGCGTGAATTGTCTAAGCTGTGAAACCAATGGGAATACAATGAGTGGTGTAGAGCGAGCATATTATTGGATAAGGCAATAGCTTCAGGTGATATGAATTTTGTTTATTTGGCAAGGCAGGTCACATTGGAAAGGGCCTATGTTGTAAGAGTAGCTAGTGAGGATGGTTGGGAGGTCGCTTCCAGGATGACCAACATGGGTGGTTCAGATCTTATGTCCGAATTATTGGGAAGTAAATGTGAGAGTGCTAGGTTAGCTATGCAACATTTCGCGAGATCCAAAGAGCCCAAAACAACCCACTATGTCCATGCGGATCAGCCCCAGCCACCAACATTAACCGTTCAAATGAAACATCCCTGTGGCACAGGTTTCACAACTACAACCCTATGTCCAACCAGCAGGGTTTCAACCACAGCTTTGAGGACAACATTGGGGTTCGCAAAACATAGTTGGTGGTTGCACCACACCTTCGCAAAGTGTTCAGTTAAATCCGCAGTTTACACAAGTTAAGAGACAACAGGTGATTCTGGGTTTTGTATCACTATTACTAGTTCAGCAACAATCCCTACGCCTAGCAGCTCAGTGGTCTAGGAAGTTCGATAGGGCTAGGGGATATAAAGGAGGTGAAGTGGTTTGCTATGTATGTGAGGGTAAAAGACATTTCACAAATGTAGCTCCAGAAAGCATATTGGGTTGCCCTTTTGTGAAGAAAATACCCAACCAAAGGATAGTTGACAACACTCAGGGGTCCTTAGGGAAGGCGACAACAGGGGCAGAAGTATTCATAATGGGAGCAATTCACAAGTGGGAGTCAGTAAAGTATTGGAAAGAGGTAATAGAACCATCACAGTTAGTTATAATGTGGCTAGAAAAGGGTGTTCTCTTGTTCCCGAGAGGGCTCATGCGTTTGGTAAACAAGCTGATTCCAAGACCATATCAGTTTATGCAGGAAGGAAGGTGCTGGCTGGAGGATGAATTGATGAGATTAGAAAGGTTAGGTGTGATAATAAAGGTTGGCAAAGGCAAGTTGTGTCTACGAGGCTTGTTGAAAGTGAGCACTATTTTTCTAGTCCCGAAGCAGGGTCCTAAGTGTTTTCGGTTGGTGATAGACTTGAGAAGGCTAAATCAAACATTGCCGCAGAAGTTATTTTATTTCGAAGTTCTGGGAGGATTGTTGAGAACGGTTGGTCAGGGCCTGTGGGCAATCTCATTTGACCTCAGAAATGGATACTACTATATTCTAATGAACGATGAAGCCCAAAAGTTGTTAAGGTTCATGGTAGGGGAGAGTTGGTATCGGTACAGAGTCCTACCATTTTGCCTGAGCCAGGCCCCATGGGTCTTCTCCAAACTGATGAGAGCGTTGATCAGCAAGTGATGTACGCAGAGTATCTACTGCGACAACCATCTGGACGATATTTGGGCGGCCCATCCGGCTAAGGAAACATTGCTAGAGATAAGGGAAGAGGTTGTGAAGTTGGACTTGAAGGGTTGTGGTTGGATTCAGGCCTTGAACAAAGAGAAATAGGACCTGACACAAGAGCTAAAGTTTTTTGGAATGATCATGAACATGGTCGAGGGGTTGTTGTAGCACCAAAGAGAAGATCGTAGCAACTATAGTGAAGCTTAAGACACTATTAAAGGCTTGAATAATAATGGCAAGGGACCTGGCATCAGTAGCAGGAAAAATTATAAGTCTGTCAAGGGCTTTTCTGCCAAGCCAGGTGAAATGTATGGAGTTTTATAGGCTCATAAATGCGCAAAACCATGGGGTATTGGAATGGGACAATGAGATGCAATTGTTGGCACAAGGGTGTAGGATGTTCGTTGGTTGGTAGAGAACCTAAGGAAATGGAACGGTCAGCCAGCCTGGAAGCTGTCATGGGTAAGAGGGTTTATGTTGATGCATCATCAATCGGTTGGTGTGGAGTTTTTCAAGAGTACAGAGCAGTGGGAAGTTGGCTGCAACCACACATGTTAAACGTTATAGCATAGTTGGAGGCACTAGTGATGTTACGAGTGCTGCAGTCGTTTAAAGATCGGTTGAGGGACTCTTGGATCACTCTGTTTATAGACAACAGGGTTGCTCTGACAACAGTTGTAAGAAGAGGCTTGACGCAGTGACAGAAGGATATCATGAGGCAAATTTGAAAGGTTTATATTACCTACAATATTGGAATTTTTGATACGAGATGGGTTTCAAGCAAGTTGAACCTAGCAGACTTCCTGACAAGGATGACGGATTCAGGAGACTGGGTGGTGAGTTCGGAAGTGGTACGCCGTTTGGAGGATTGTTGGGGAAAATTCGACATCGACAGGTTCATGAACCATCTCAACGCAAGGACAAAATAGTTCAACAGCCTCTTCTTCTGTCTAGAATCGGAGGCTGTAGACTGCTTTACGCAAGACTAGGCTGGAATGAAGAACTATGTGTGCTCTTTGTTGGCCAAATTCACAGGGCTCTGTGTCATGCAAAAGAGTGCAGTGCTTGGTTGGTCATTATAATTCCAGTTTGGGTGTTGGTCCCGTAGTGGCTATTGATTGTAAACTCCTCAAGAGAGGAAATCGACTTACCGGCCCTGGCCCAGATTATTCATCCAGGTCCTTCAGGAAATGTGGAACCTTTCAAGAACACCCAGTGGCAGTTGAGAGCCATACGGTTGGATTGGTCGAAGGGCTGCTTGACAGGATGAGACATTTGATGAGCAAATTGATTAGTGACCCATATAGGAAGCATTTAGAGAAAGCTATGAAGGTTTTTGAAAACTTTGTCCTTTGGTTAGGCTTCGTGTCTTATCCAGTGTTAGGAAAGTTGCTGGCAGCTTTTCTGATATGGTTGGAAACATTAGGTAGAGCAGCAGAGATCCAAATATGCCTGTCCACAGTGGCAAGAAAACATAAAATGAGAAACCTTGATGATCTAACGAAGAGGAGTGCAATTTTGTTAATTTTGGAGAAAATTAAGAGATCTCAGGTATTGGTTAAAACCGAGACCAGGTGGCCAAGAAAACTGTTATAGGTAACAGTGGTTATATATTACATCAAACATCTGCCACCAGGGATTAGTGTGCTTATGTAGGCTTGGGATATAGCATTGGTAGCCTTGGGTTTAAGAGTCATGCAGAGACCTGATGAATTGTGTAATCTGAGGTGGTCGGATGTTTTAGAAAAGGGTGAAAAGTTGTGGATTAGAGTTGCTAGGTCAAAAACAGACCAGCTAGGTAGAGGAAAGTTCATTTCAGTCAAAAAAACGGCAAGCGGGATTTGTCCAGCCCAACTCCTAGGTATGTATTTAAAGGT